TTTTTTTTTTTTTTGGTCGTGTTGAATTATTTGTAAAGTAATTACGCACTTTTGATAATCGTAGTTTCGTTTGAAATTGTATTATATATTTTTGATAATGAAATTGTTAATTAATATAAGTATTTCGTGTATTATATTATATGTGTATAACATTTTGTATTTAAAATTTTTTTACTTTTACAGTTATACTTTGACGAAGTAAAACAATTTGAAAATTTATTACTTTCTTAAATAGCAAATATTTTATATTAAATACGAAAAAAATTAGGAATATTTTTGAAAATTAATTATTACTTTAAATACATATTCAGAAATCAATCAAATTTTCTAAAAATTTAATCCTTCAAGAGTCCACTTATTGTTTAAATTTTCTAATTAAACTAGTTACTGTTGTCAACTATGTAAGTGATTTTCAATGAATGTGACTTACTTAAAAATAAGACACGTCTTTGCACGAGCACTTTATAAACAATTTACTAAAGAAATAAATTTGCTCTTTCGAGCGAAATTCGAAATGGATGCGATATCAATACTGAATTGAATATCCTTCCAAAATTGAAAAGCATATTCAATGATATTATAATTGGTGTCAAATTAATAATTTTCTTTATCAAAATAGGCAATTTGTCAATTTGGTGGGATGAAAAAAATTTGTCGAAAAAAATATATCAATTAATATATTTAATTAATGTATATTTCGATAGTTATTTCCATTTTCGAAAATAAAAATTCATTACTTTTCAGCCGATTCTAATATAATACCAGAGATAAATAAATTTTTACACGAAATTGATTTTTGAACATTTCAATTAATATTCCAAAGAATTAATGATTCGACAAAGAATTTTAGGCAACATGTGAAATATTTAACTCCAGAATTACCGAGGCTGAAAGTTTGATTGGCCGTGAACGGCGTATCAAGACGAGGCGGAGACACAACTTCAACTTTAACATCCAACCCGCAACTTGGCGAAGTCACGAACAAATTGGATTTAAGGTTGCATCTTTTCGGCTAACACGCGCATAGATGTTTACCCTTTCGAACGTCTCAACTCAAACAGTAATTAATTGCTTGGAACAGTTTTGTCGTTTAACATTGACGGAGCGAACAGTTCTTGTAACTTCGTTCCAATGCGAACGGCGAAAGGATAATTAAGATAATATTACGAATAAACTAATGATCGATTTTTCATTAAATTTTTCAATCTCGTGAATGAAATTACGATTCTTTTTCGCATATGGACAATTGAAACAGACGCGATGTAATCAATTTTTAATTTAAAATTCATTTCGATACGTTTATCGGAATGATTAAGTCCAGCCACAGGACTTAATAAAATTATATGGAAGTGAATGAAATCTTTTTTTGTAATTTTTTGTAACAAATATATACGATGTTATTTAGATAAAAAGCAAAATTATTTTTCACTCTTTTATTTATTTCATTAATTGTCCTCTGCGCATGCTTCTGCAGAAAGATTGCAACTTTTAAAACAATTCTCAAAATAATTTTTATTTCACATCGAAGCAATTCTAATTACTCTTAAATTGCAATAAACGTGTTCGAATTTTACGAAGAAACGTAAGCACATCTTGTACACACTCGTTCACATTCCCTTCTAAATTCTTATAACTCGTTATTATAAACAGAGTAGATCGCAGAGCAGAGACTCAAGAATTCGTTGCAAGCATTTATACTCGCTTCTTCACCAATAATAAACAAGTTCTCCCCTCTTGCAATTATCATTTTTCACCAACTCTATCGACACTAACATAATTAACTCTTGGTCTATTCGTTTGCCACTACGAATCGATCAAATTACCCCCAACGGCCACTATATCCATCCACCTACCAACAACACCTCCGCCACCCATATCCACCGAAATCACCTAATCATTCCGCATTCAACCGTCCTCTCTGTATCCCGCCGTGAGCAGTCGCAACCAGTCGAAACGACACGGCATTATCCCGGTGTCCGATTCGTGGGACATCGAGATCGTTCTCACCCCTCCCCGGCCAGAGCTGAGAGGAGAACGAGTTCGATTTCGAGGGAGGGAGCTCCAGTCGGTGTTCCAGTCTGCTTCTTCCCTCCCTCCTCTTTCCCCGTTCTCTGCACCCGTTACATCCATATGCAAATTTATTCTGCCCCGTCTGTGTACGCGCGCTCGCCCATGCCTAGCACACGAAGCGGCGTGGGCCTTCTCGCGCTTGTTGTCGGTGCAGCGGAGAGGGTCATAAATTAAATGATGTAAATGCTCTGTCCACCCTCTGTCGCAGAGGAGAGCTGTCTCTCTCTTTCTCTGTTCACCCCCACCGCGTCTCTCTGTCCCACTCTCGTTGCATCGAGTGACCTGGACGATCCACGCCAACCAGACCCCTTCTGACTGATTATAATTATCGGGGCGTACCCTGCGGCTCGCCTCGCATGGATGAGGAG